CCTTAGTCACCAGGCCTCAGAACAGTGAGAGCTAGAAGAACGAGTCAACAGCAACTCCTGGTTTTACTACCTCGTAAGCCGATAAGACTTTTGATAGCTCCTGGCACAGAAATGGAAACGGTACCGAGTAGCCTTCCCTGAGGCAGAAACTCAACTCGGAACCAAAACTCTTTTTCCGACTTCTAGGAAATTCTGAGACACATGAATCACACCGTGGCCGAATATTTTCCCGTGACGATCCACGGCTATCACGGAGAGCCAGGCGTCGCTACAAACCTAGTTCCATCACCTTGACTTGATCCATTCCCGTATACAATCAGCAGCAAAGGGTTTTGGTATAACGTGGTCCACGTAAGGGAAGTCCATCGCCTGGCAAATCCACATCCAGGCAACTCTCAGCTTCTCCGCTTCCCATGCTGTACCTTACAAAATGCACTTGTTAAACTGACTCCATCTATCTAGTTCCTCAGAGGAAAACACTGTACGATAAAAGGGGAAAAACCCAGAAGAAGGCGAAGCAAAATCACCGGCCCGACCAGCAGTCGCTATCATCTTCACCTCATGTCACACCATCACAACTCCGTTACACGGTTACAAAAAAGAGCTCACCAGCAATTTCGATGAGCAGAGATAAACTAACCCTTGCTCAACCTGTCTATTCCCAACGGAATGACCAGACGTCTACGTATGGTCACGCCGAGTTAACTATGCGTCTCACGCCGATACACACTCATCAAAGCTCGTAGGAACTCACCGCTGCACAATTTCCGTAGAAGCAAGGTCATGCCGTACTCGTGACGAGATTGTAGCTCTGGTAACATACACGTTGCCCACAGCACTTTAACTGACATCACCAACAACTCATGTGCCTCTCTCTTCAACCTTCATATTCTTCTCGCTGAATCATCTCCCATCGCTCAGTCAACGATGGGACAACCATTGCTCCAACGCTTCCACTTGCAAGCAAACGCAGTCTCAATTCCATGATCGGTCACATTCTCCGAGGTCCTACTAGCTGTCTCCTCCTCTACGTAATCTACATGCTCCACCATATACTCCACAATTGGAGAATAATGGGTCAGGGCCTGAGTAGGAGGGACTCTCGAGCGGAGGAATAAACAAAGACAACAGAGCTCAGTGGTTTATCTCTAGCAGATCTCGCAATATC